TAACATACACAGTACCACAAACAGTACCACAGCTGGAGTAACATACACAGTACCACACAGTACCACAGCTGGAGTAACATACACAGTACCACACAGTACCACAGCTGGAGTAACATACACAGTACCACACACAGTACCACAGCTGGAGTAACATACACAGTACCACACACAATGTCACAGCTGGAGTAACATACACAGTACCACACAGTACCACAGCTGGAGTAACATACACAGTACCACACACAGTGTCACAGCTGGAGTAACATACACAGTACCACACACAGTGTCACAGCTGGAGTAACATACACAGTACCACACACAGTGTCACAGCTGGAGTAACATACACAGTACCCACACACAGTACCACAGCTGGAGTAACATACACAGTACCACACAGTACCACAGCTGGAGTAACATACACAGTACCACACACAGTACCACAGCTGGAGTAACATACACAGTACCACACAGTACCACAGCTGGAGTAACATACACAGTACCACACACAGTACCACAGCTGGAGTAACATACACAGTACCACACACAATGTCACAGCTGGAGTAACATACACAGTACCACACAGTACCACAGCTGGAGTAACATACACAGTACCACACAGTACCACAGCTGGAGTAACATACACAGTACCACACACAGTGTCACAGCTGGAGTAACATACACAGTACCACACAGTACCACAGCTGGAGTAACATACACAGTACCACACAGTACCACAGCTGGAGTAACATACACAGTACCACACACAGTGTCACAGCTGGAGTAACATACACAGTACCACACACAGTGTCACAGCTGGAGTAACATACACAGTACCACACACAGTGTCACAGCTGGAGTAACATACACAGTACCACACACAGTACCACAGCTGGAGTAACATACACAGTACCACACAGTACCACAGCTGGAGTAACATACACAGTACCACACACAGTACCACAGCTGGAGTAACATACACAGTACCACACAGTACCACAGCTGGAGTAACATACACAGTACCACACACAGTACCACAGCTGGAGTAACATACACAGTACCACACACAATGTCACAGCTGGAGTAACATACACAGTACCACACAGTACCACAGCTGGAGTAACATACACAGTACCACACAGTACCACAGCTGGAGTAACATACACAGTACCACACACAGTGTCACAGCTGGAGTAACATACACAGTACCACACAGTACCACAGCTGGAGTAACATACACAGTACCACACACAGTGTCACAGCTGGAGTAACATACACAGTACCACACAGTACCACAGCTGGAGTAACATACACAGTACCACACACAGTGTCACAGCTGGAGTAACATACACAGTACCACACACAGTGTCACAGCTGGAGTAGGGCCTCACTATACAACAACAACAAAAAGCTTTATTAAGACCTTTCAGTCTTATACAGATTCTCCAAGCAGAAATGTAGAATACATACAGGAAAAACAGTAATATTACCTTAATGGTAATATGATATTTATATACAGGAAAAGTTATATAAAGACATTCAAGTTAATAAATAGATTAGTCTGGGTAAATTGGAGAGGAAAATAAACTTATTATACATTGTAAAGTAATACTTAAAGCCTCCCCGCATAAGTTTCTTTTTTTGTGAAAATCAATATTAATTTCAAAGAGAAATATGTACTATTTCTAGCTTTTGGATGACGTATGAAAAGGTTGAATATATGAAAAGTAATGGTCTATATATGATTGGATGACGTATGAAAGGGTGAAAATGTGAAGAGTAATGGCGAACGGAAAGTATTACTTTAAGTATTAAAGTAGCTTTAAGTATTACTTTATAATCATACACCGCAGTCCTTTATATTGTATTATTATACATTGATTTATCACGGAGTCTCTGCAAATGAAGATTAAAAAAAGTAAAAGCTAATCATAGTCAATATTGATAATGAAATTTAAATATTAGAAAACTTTTATATTATGATGTACTAGTACGCCATCTGTTATGAAAATTGAGCCAGACCCTCCCATTAATGTTTCCATTGCAGTAAGGGCAGTAGAAATTGTTTAATTTCAAAAAGAATCTTACGCGTCTAAAATAGTTTCGTATTTCCACAAGAAAACTAAATTAAGATAATTGCTCACCATACACAGTACCACAGTTGGAGCAACAGACCTGACCACACATATGTACCACAGCTAGGCAGTCCTCGACAACACGGGGCAACCTACCGTCGAGCGACGTGACCGCCCACTCATCCATCACCCTGACGTGGTCCCACCTCGGGGCCAAGTTTTAATCAAGAAAAGTATCTTAAGATTATTCCTATATCGCTTTGAAAATGTATAAATTTGAGTTATATAAACACTCATGGGCAAAACTTAAGGAAGTTGTACCTTTCAGCATGTATATCGGGATTCAGACAATAATTCTAAAAGATGCACTCATGGACAAACCTTAAGGAAGTTGTACCTTTCAGCATGTATATCGGGATTCAGACAATAATTCTAAAAGATACACTCATGGACAAACCTTAAGGAAGTTGTACTTTTTAGCATGTATATCGGGATTCAGACAATAACTCTGAAATATACACTGATGGACAAAACTTAAGGAAGTTGTACCTTTTACCATGTATATCGGGATTCAGACAATAACTCTGAAATATACACTGATGGACAAAACTTAAGGAAGTTGTACCTTTTACCATGTATATCGGGATTCAGACAATAATTCTAAAAGATACACTCATGGACAAACCTTAAGGAAGTTGTACTTTTTAGCATGTATATCGGGATTCAGACAATACCTCTGAAAGATACACTCATGGACAAAACTTAAGGAAGTTGTACTTTTAGCATGTATATCGGGATTCAGACAATAATTCTAAAAGATACACTCATGGACAAACCTTAAGGAAGTTGTACTTTTTAGCATGTATATCGGGATTCAGACAATAACTCTGAAATATACACTGATGGACAAAACTTAAGGAAGTTGTACCTTTTACCATGTATATCGGGATTCAGACAATAATTCTAAAAGATACACTCATGGACAAACCTTAAGGAAGTTGTACTTTTTAGCATGTATATCGGGATTCAGACAATACCTCTGAAAGATACACTCATGGACAAAACTTAAGGAAGTTGTACCTTTTAGCATGTATATCGGAATTCAGACAATAACTCTGAAATATATTACAGTGACCTTTATCGAAGACACACGAAATAACCAAGTGTGAAAAAAATTGGTCTCCTTAAAATATATATATATATATATACGAGTGACGACATCAAATACTTTCCAATTCCTTAAGTTTTGCCTATGAGTGCATATATTTTTAGAGACAGATACTTTCTCTCTGATTATACATTCAAAGACAAAAAAGTAAATCAAGAAAGATGTATGCAAATTGGAGAAAAAATGTATACGCAAATACATTTAAAATAAGCATGAAAATTATGAATTATTGGCAGCCAATGAGAGTGGAACTATTCAATGTAACTGAATAAATGACAGATATATAAAAGATGAGAATATTTTTATATGTCCTCTCTAACATCTCTGCCTATTCTATTCCATGAGTAGTCACATAGGCAGTGTCTATGCCTCACAAAAAGGTTCACTCACAATATGTACATATGTCAGAATTTGATAAAGAACTTTAAGTTGGGCTGAAAGAAGCCGGTTAGTTTAATGTATTATCGTTCGGCATTTGGATTAGACGATGATGTCAGGAATGATTGAACCATGGCTAAACACAGCTTCAAGAAGGTCGACCTGGAGAGACGACTTACTGTGAGGACCATGATATCATCAGAGGTATATCATTAACACAACGATCCTAACTTGTACAGAAGTAATAGCAAGGACCCCTATGTGTTCGTTAAATATAGTTGAACAATGTATTATCCATTACGGCTATAACCGAATCCCAAGTTAAAAATCCCAACAATACCCGACCCCAAAGTCAAAGAAGCCAGCAATACCCGACCCTCAAGTCAAAGAGCTCAGCAATACCCGATCCCCAAGTCAGAGAGCCCAGCAATACCCGACTCCCAAGTCAAAGAAGCCAGCAATACCCGACCCTCAAGTCAAAGAACCCAGCAATACCCGACTCCCAAGTCAAAGAAGCCAGCAATACCCACCCTCAAGTCAGAGAGCCCAGCAATACCCGATCCCCAAGTCAGAGAGCCCAGCAATACCCGACCCTCAAGTCAAAGAACCCAGCAATACCCGACCCTCAAGTCAAAGAACCCAGCAATACATATACCCGATCCCTAAGTCAGAGAGCCCAGCAATACCCGACTCCCAAGTCAAAGAAGCCAGCAATACCCGACCCTCAAGTCAAAGAACCCAGCAATACATATACCCGATCCCTAAGTCAGAGAGCCCAGCAATACCCGACTCCCAAGTCAAAGAAGCCAGCAATACCCGACCCTCAAGTCAAAGAACCCAGCAATACATATACCCGATCCCTAAGTCAGAGAGCCCAGCAATACCCGACTCCCAAGTCAAAGAAGCCAGCAATACCCGACCCTCAAGTCAAAGAACCCAGCAATACATATACCCGACCCTCAAGTCAGAGAAGCCAGCAATACCCGACCCCATAGTCAGAGAGTCTGGCGACGTATGCAAATCCCGCGCGGAACTGATCCCAGGATCAATGCGGCGCCCGGGGGATATTTATCTCTGTAATCTGGGGGAGTTAGCGGCCGGGAGTATTGATGGCAGCAGCCGTTTGTTCTCTCTCTCCAGCCAGCCAGGAATGCTATGTGACCTCACCTCTCTTACATCCACGTTACTTATTAGCGTGGATGTGTCAAATGTGAAGTAACTTGTAACTGTTGACATGTAGAATTGACAATTTTACCGCAAATGTTTCTTCTGAACGAAAAATCGTAATTTATTTTAAGTAGAAATAACAACTATTTCTATCCTTAAGAATGAAGTATAATAGGATGAATTGTGAAGAGTAATGATAAACGTAAAAATAAAGTATCCAGGGATGGGAATCGAACCCACACGCTTACCGGGCAGATGCCATGTCCACTAGGCTACCCTGGACATACTTTTCCGTTCGTATATATTATATAAAGTTAATTTATAATACAATATAATGCGGCTTATGGCTGTAGAACGACGTTTGACAAATTCACCGTAAATTTATACTTATATATATATACATATTTATCTGATTTCTATCGGTTTTGTTCAATCACCACAGAATATCTTCAGGATATTGGCTATCTATTTATTGTCATTATTTGACCTTTTATTCACCAATCTATAATTTTATCCTTATTTCAATAAACCCTGGTAGATTAAACTGTCGAAACCGCTGGGAGAGTTCACCACTGATGAATCAGGCCCTCCCATTAATTTTTCATTGCAGTAAGGACAGTAGAAAATTGTGTAATTTGTAAAAGAATCATACGTGTCTATAATAGTTTCGAATTATCATAACAGATGGCGCGCTAATGTATCACATATATATATACACACATATATAGAGAGAAACAGGTTATATATGTTCTACCGCTTTTATTTTTAAATTAAGCTGTTAAATAGTAATATCACCCAGTTTACAACGTACCACGGAAATTTTAAGAATTTTTTTATCAATAATTGAAGCGGTTAAGGACTCTAGCTGTCACTGTGGCAAGGAAATCCAGGACTCGAGACACCTACTGCTGGAATGTCCACTCTTCTTTATCGCTAGACAACAGACAATGTTGTAGATCTATATCAATTTGTAAATACTAGAGAGAATTATCACAGAATTAACTATTTTTGTAAATATATTTATGATTATCTTTCTAACCTGAAAGGTTCAGGTTACTAATATATATTATTGTTTCTATTTTTTATTTTTTATTACTTTCTTGTATAATATGTTTATAACTGTTTCTGTTTGAAAAATGTGAATCGACGCAATTATCCCTAGCCGGAAAATCGCGTTTTGTGCGTTGAAATAAATAAATAAACAGGAATATAAAGTTAGAAATTGATTTATAATCATTGCTTTTTGTCCAAGATTATGTGACTTGGCTTTTATGCGCTCAGTCACCAACATCTTAGGTCAATTTGAAAAATACAATTTAATAAAAAGTTCGAAATCATAAGAGGAAACGTTTCTTTTAAAGTTTTCATTATTTTTTGCCAAACTTTCAAGAATTTCTGCCTTTCTACTGGAGTAAAAAGGAAAATATTTTTTCTTCTACAGTGGAAGGGCAGAAATTATCGAAAGGTCGGCAAAATAATAAAAACTTTAAAAGAAACCTTTCATCTTATGATTTCGAACTTTTTATAAATTTGATCCATGCGATATATATCCAAAAAAGTAAAGTAAGTTTTGTCATATATTTTTGGTGATGAAAGGTAGATGAATCAAGAAGTTTGTTGGCATCATGCATAGGAGGGGTTGCGTTCGGCAAAGTCCACCACTCAGGGCAACTTCTCTCCTTCCAGGCTGATCCTCAAGTGGCTCCCTCATCGACCGCCCCTTCCCCAAATCGAGTCATTGATTTTTTTAGCGATGGATTTCTTTAAGCGGCGGTGGAGGCGCACGTGGGGTCGACAGTCCGACCGATAGCATCTAATGAAGATCTTTGTACCGGCAGGATGATGAATTGACACATCGCTGGGATACAGTTTGGATTCTGTTTCTTTCTCGCTCTCTCTTTTATTTTCTTTCTTTCAGCCGGTCAGGGCATTCTTGGAAGTCTGTCAACACTTCGATATATACCTCTCTATTTATTCTTCAGCCTGTATTTGTGTAGTCTTCCTTCTTGCTGCTCCTTCATCTTTCTTTCACAACAATGATCAACTCATTAACTAATATTTCACTGCGCATTCTTCACAACAATGGTTAACTCAGCAACCACCATCACTCGCCGTACATTCCACTTTCACAACAATGGTCACCTCAGCAGCCATCATTTCGCCGTACTTACTACTTCACAACAATGGTCACCTCAGCAACCATTATCTCGCCGTACATCCTACTTACACAACAATGGTCAACTCAGCAGTCATCATCTCGCCGCACATCCCACTTTCACAACAATGGTCAACTCAGCAGCCATCATCTCGCCGCATATCCCACTTTCACAACAATGGTCACCTCAGCAGCCATCATCTCGCCGTACTTCCTACTTTCACAACAATGGTGACCTCAGCAACCATCATCTCGCCGCACATCCCACTTTCACAACAATGGTCACCTCAGCAGCCATCACCTAGCCGTACTTCCTACTTTCACAACAATGGTCACCTCAGCAGCCATCACCTAGCCGTACTTCCTACTTTCACAACAATGGTCACCTCAGCAGCCATCATCTTGCCGCACATCCCACTTTCACAACAATAGTCACCTCAGCAACCATTATCTCGCCGTACCTCCTACTTACACAACAATGGTCACCTCAGCAGCCATCATCTCGCCGCACATCCCACTTTCACAACAATGGTCACCTCAGCAGCCATCACCTAGCCGTACATCCTACTTTTACAACAATGGTCACCTCAGCAACCATCATCTCGCCGTACTTCCTACTTTTACAACAATGGTTACCTCAGCAGCCATCACCTAGCCGTACTTCCTACTTTCACAACAATGGTCACCTCAGCAGCCATCACCTAGTCGTACTTTCTACTTTCACAACAATGGTTACCTCAGCAGCCATCACCTAGCCGTACTTTCTACTTTCACAACAATGGTTACCTCAGCAGCCATCATCTCGCCGCACATCCTACTTTTACAACAATGGTCACCTCAGCAGCCATCACCTAGTCGTACTTTCTACTTTCACAACAATGGTCACCTCAGCAGCCATCACCTAGCCGTACATCCTACTTTTACAACAATGGTCACCTCAGCAACCATCATCTCGCCGTACTTCCTACTTTTACAACAATGGTTACCTCAGCAGCCATCACCTAGCCGTACTTCCTACTTTCACAACAATGGTCACCTCAGCAGCCATCACCTAGTCGTACTTTCTACTTTCACAACAATGGTCACCTCAGCAGCCATCACCTAGCCGTACATCCTACTTTTACAACAATGGTCACCTCAGCAACCATCATCTCGCCGTACTTCCTACTTTTACAACAATGGTTACCTCAGCAGCCATCACCTAGCCGTACTTCCTACTTTCACAACAATGGTCACCTCAGCAGCCATCACCTAGCCGTACTTTCTACTTTCACAACAATGGTCACCTCAGCAGCCATCACCTAGCCGTACTTCCTACTTTTACAACAATGGTCACCTCAGCAACCATCATCTCGCCGTACTTCCTACTTTTACAACAATGGTTACCTCAGCAGCCATCACCTAGCCGTACTTTCTACTTTCACAACAATGGTCACCTCAGCAACCATTATCTCGCCGTACTTCCTACTTTTACAACAATGGTCACCTCAGCAGCCATCATCTCGCCGCACATCCCACTTTCACAACAATGGTCACCTCAGCAACCATTATCTCGCCGTACTTCCTACTTTTACAACAATGGTCACCTCAGCAGCCATCATCTCGCCGCACATCCCACTTTCACAACAATGGTCACCTCAGCAACCATTATCTCGCCGTACTTCCTACTTTTACAACAATGGTCACCTCAGCAGCCATCATCTCGCCGCACATCCCACTTTCACAACAATGGTCACCTCAGCAACCATTATCTCGCCGTACTTCCTACTTTCACAACAATGGTCACCTCAGCAGCCATCACCTAGCCGTACTTCCTACTTTTACAACAATGGTCACCTCAGCAGCCATCAACTCGCCGCACCTCCCACTTTCACAACAATAATCACCTCAGCAGCCATCACCTAGCCGTACATCCTACTTACACAACAATGGTCACCTCAGCAGCCATCATCTCGCCGCACATCCCACTTTCACAACAATAATCACCTCAGCAGCCATCACCTAGCCGTACATCCTACTTACACAACAATGGTCACCTCAGCAGCCATCAACTCGCCGCACATCCCACTTTCACAACAATAATCACCTCAGCAGCCATCACCTAGCCGTACATCCTACTTACACAACAATGGTCACCTCAGCAGCCATCATCTCGCCGCACATCCCACTTTCACAACAATGGTCACCTCAGCAGCCATCACCTAGCCGTACTTCCTACTTTCACAACAATGGTCACCTCAGCAGCCATCACCTAGCCGTACTTCCTATTTTCACAACAATGGTCATCTCAGCAACCATCATATCGCCGTACATCGTATTTTTACAACAATGGTCACCTCAGTAAATATTATCTCACCGTACAACCTACTTTCACAACAATGGTCACCTCGGCAGCCATCATCTCGCCGCACATCCTACTTTCACAACAATGGTCACCTCGGCAGCCATCATCTCGCCGCACATCCTACTTTCACAACAATGGTCACCTCGGCAGCCATCATCTCGCCGCACATCCTACTTTCACAACAATAATTAACTCATCAAACATGCGGCCAGAAGTTTATATACATTTTGGGGCTGTGTTACACAATTTATAATTATGACACATATGAAAATCTAGTGTATATTGACATATTACTACATATACATTTTTGAAATCGAAACACTGTTCCTAGAGTTTGTTCGAGTGTATCCCTCATCATGCTATACAACATCATCGCCTATTCAGAAGTCTCTGGCCCAAAAATAACAAGAATAGCACGGACGCATCAGCAACTTTAATTTCATGTTTACCGGCGCCTGCGGCTGTAAAATAATTTCTGAAAAAAAATTGTCTAATTACGGTGCAGAAGATGAGAGTCGCCTTCCGGAAATTGCTCGCGAAATCTATTACTGGGACAAAATATGGAGGGGAATTCTATTTAGCTTCAATTTTTTTTTTTGGAGGGCGGGGATTAGAAAACCTTGCTGGAGGTAAGGTGGGGCAGCGGTTTCTAAGTTTGTAATAACATTACCCCACGAACATAACCAAATTTATATTCATCCATGTATTCTTCTTCTTCTTTCTTATCTCCACTTAACCATATTAAGGTATCAAGCTTGTAAAGCTTGACAACCATCATGACTG